AAACAGACAAAGCCAAGCATGACCTAAAGGGACAGGTATCAAACATGACACTGCCAAGTGCCAAACATATGACCCTTTTCAGGACAGACAGAACGTGTATGAACACTGACTTCAAACAGGGCCACTGAGTAAGTTCCAAAGCATCGTAAGGACCTGGTGTCATACTGACCACCCTCTGTGACAACAACATAACTAAGTTAGAAATGAACAATAGAAAAAAAGGGAAGAAATGAATTCGGCAATGGAAAAGCAACTAAGGAAAAAAACATACGTTTGTATATTGAGAAACTCTGAAATATCCCATCATGCCAAAGACAGAATAATGGAAATTTTTAAAAAGATTTTTAAACTGAAAGATTTTATATATAAAAGCTTGTGAAACGCAGCCAAAGCATTACTTATTTTGTATTTATAAAATCTTACGTGAAAGGAAAGGAGGAAAAATAATGAGCTATTTAAAGAAATTAGAGCATCCAAAAAAGTAATTAATTAATTAATTTAAAAAGGGCTTCCCTGGTGGTGCAGTGGTTAAGAATCCGCCTGCCAATGCAGGGGACACAGGTTCAAGCCCTGGTCCGGGAAGATCCTACATGCCACGGAGCAACTAAGCCCGTGTGCCACAGCTACTGAGCCTGTGCTCTAGAGCCCGAGAGCCACAACTGCTGAGCTCACATGCCACAACTACTGAAGCCCACGTGCCTAGAGCCCGTGCTCCACAACAAGAGAAGCCACCGCAATGAGAAGCTCACGCACCACAACGAAGAGTAGTCCCTGCTCGCCGCAACTAGCGAAGGCCCGTGCACAGCAACGAACACCCAACGCAGCCAATAAATAAATAAATCAGAACAGGAACATAAAAATAAAATTAAAGAGCATAAGTGGAAAGAAATAAAGATACGAATATTCATTTTTTTAAAAAATGATGAACCCTTAGTGAGATAGATCAGAGTGTGGATGTCCACGCGCAGAAATAGTGAACACCAGAAATTAAAAAGGGACAGCTCTAAAGGTCCTGCAGACATTAAAAAAAAAAAAAAAAAAGAATACTACGAACAACTTTTTGCCAAAAACTTGAAAATCTGGACGAAATGGACAAATTCCCAGAAAACTATATTTCCGGAACTAACTTAAAGTGTGGGGGGGGGGTGTGTGCCCTAAAATCATTAGAGAAATTGAGCCGCGGGAGTTACACTTGCCCCAGAGTGACTTCAAGCTCAGGTACTGTACCGGTGATTTCTCCCACACATTCAAGGAAGAAACAGTTCCTGTTTCACACAAACAATACCATGCAGCAGCTCTTTCTGCAGGATATCTTGGCACCAAAATCTGATAGGGGCAGTAGATGAGCAGGAGATTACAGACCCTAGACAGAGATGCAAAAGTCCTAAGCAAAATCTCAATCTCAGTCTACCCACGTACAGGAAGGGGAACGCGGCATGAGCACGCTGGTATTTTTCCAAGAGTGAAAGGTGACTCTGATGCTAGAAAATCCATTGACGTAATTTACCGCATCAGTCGTTAAAGGAGAAGGACCACGTCGGCCCCTGATTACACCCAACGCCCCCGCACAGGTGCAGAGAGACCCCACGGAGGAGCTATCGCGCAGCCACCAGAACGGCTGGAATTGAAACGGTGGTAACACAGAACGGCTGGCGGCCGCGGAAGGCGGTGCCACCACTTCGGAAAGCCGGCAGTGTCTTCATAGTTGACACCCCC